AATTATTGTTTAAAATATAATTACAGTACTGTGGAAAAACCACCCACTTTGTTTTAGCAAAGGTTTAATGACCATCTATAATTATTTTTTGGTCTTGAATACCACATCTTGAATATCCAGTTTGTTTGTTGGTTTCCCTTAAGAATGGCTTCCCTGATGCAAAAGTATGATTTTACGTTTGTCAAATTCTGTGATCTTTAGCATTTTGACTGGAATGACGTGATTGAAAGTTGGTCTTATTAACAAGCTTCCAGCGAATTACACTCATACAACATGTGTCTGTACTGCATGTGATGCTCAAGCATGTCTTGCACAAACCTGTTATAATTTTACACAACAGTCATTTTGGCATGGAATAGAGGGATACGTGGAGGTGATAGTAATCACAGTACCTAGTGTTTCACTCCATTCGGGTTTACAGCAGCCATGTGTGTGCGGTTGCTAAAGTGTAAGGGGAGATCACACTATACAATTTCCACTTTAGCCTATGAAAGCTGTTTTTTCTGCCTTTTCCTGTTTTTGACTACTGCATACAAATTTCCTGTATTTTCTGGTTGTATTCTGATAAGACTGAGACATAATTATATACAGTCATTATACTATTGCTACAGCAACAAATCTAATGGTGTGGCCTAAGACTTGAACAGTACTATACATTTTTGTGGAGTAGTGCAGAGCGTGATTTATACGAGCCTGAGATTCTGTTGGAATTGAAATCTACTGATTTCTATGCTGTGATCTACACCATGATGGTCAAAATTTATGTCATGCCAATAAATCAGCTGGGTTTTTTTTGGCCTACTTCAACATGTAATGAATGCTAGAATATTTCTAAAGAATGAGATTCCAAGTTAAAGACGTTTATTATTTGTATATTTTCCCCCAGTTGTTAGCATTTTTTTCCTTAGCCTATTTAATGATTAAAGAAAATAGTCTGAGGCAGTACCAAATGGAAGAGACTATTGACACAGAAAATATGCTAAATATAAATATGCTATTTCTGCCCCCACTCTTATGCGGGTATCCATCTTTGGTAAAAACAAGTTAGGCTTTTAAAAGAACATGTTCAGAAAGGAATTGTAGACTGAAAGCTGACTCCCAAACACTTCTGGGTGTGACTCATTTTGCAATTGTAAAAGTCTCTGGCTTGAAGGAAGAAAGTCTGGTACTCAGAAAAGAGACAACAATGTAACTATAGGTCATTGACTGAAAGTAACCCTTGTTAAGAGCTGCTAGGCTGTTTCGTCAAATCAGCGCTGCTGCTCAGGAAGAAAGAGGAGCTGCTTAAGAAATTCAGTTCCTGATTGGTCTGTTGCAAATGCCTTGGGCAGAAAGTTCTGCTTTTGTAGTTGAACTTTCTTGAAGAATTTCTAGCAGTCTGGGGATGATTTAATTTCTAAAAATTAAAGAACGGATAAAAATTTTGACAAAAGTCTCCTCAAACCGATTTTCCATTTAGTGAAGAACTTAATTTCTCTGACTTGAAGTGAGCTATATTAGATGTGCTACTTTGTTCAAATGGATGTTTGCAGTTAAAATGATAGTTTCATTAGACATTTGCACTTTATGGAAATATTTGTAATTTGTAGTCCAAACATCAAACCACTGCATTAGATAAAGGGTTTGTTTATCGATTCTAAGTGGTGTAGAATCTATTGCTTTTTTTTCTGAGATAAGTGCTGAATGCCCTTAACTGTATGCAGCAGAGTTGAACATCCAGAGTTAACCTTTCCCCTGATTAACCAGCAGTGAAAATTGGAGCTTGTAAAACCTTTGCCTTTGCTTGAAGTCCAGTATGCTTTTGGCACTGAACTATAAACCAGTCTTATTTGTTTCAATATCTGATTCAATTCTTTACTTGGGCTGAGATAAAGTGGAGCTACTCCCAAATATTCAAAGTGGAAGCAAATTAAATGTTTATTCTGAAAAGATGTTACTGTAAGGAATGTAAAGAACAAATGTAGGGTTGTATTGGCAATCAACAGCGGGCACTCAGCAGGAGTTTCACATTAAATACTGGGCATATTTGAAAAAGTACAAGTAATAAGGTATCAAAAACCCTCAATTTTAATAGGAGCAAATAAATTGTTCTGAGATGTCGCTAGCTGTATATTTGGAGTTATATTCCTAAAATATGATATTCTTAGCCTAGGATGTTCATATTATGGGCTATTGAAATTTTTATGTATTTCGTTGAATGTGTTTGTATCATATCACATCTTTTTTCTAAGATATTCCCTGAGCTTTTGTATAGAATATGGGATATATCATATATCGGTTTCTTGGCTAATAATTTTAGGGAGGTGTGTTTGATTTGGTGTTCTACCAAATATCTTTTAAGAGATTAAAATGACAGATTTCAATAGGAATCTTGAATATTAGCTACATTTTTTTGTAGCTCTGATTTTTTTTTTTACTAATTGCTTCACATTCTTTTCATGTTTTCCTAATCGTACTGGGCTGGAGCTAAATTTAGACATGATATTACTAGGTTTTAGTCTTCCAGTTTTATTCTAAATGCAGTTATTTTACTCACACTTTTTTAAAGAATGTTTCCCATCAATTTACTCAGGGGTTTCTTATAATTCTATTTATAAAGACAGTAGTTCTGTCTTTCAGTTATTAGCAGAAATGCTGTATTTTTTGTAATATTTGAGCAGATCTTAAAAGTTGCTAGGTTTCATTTCTGCATTACAAAAATAAATTTCCTGTTTTAGGCATATGTTTTTCCTGCACATAGAGGAGGACCTTCTGGCTGGTAATCTACAGTGTTCTTCTGAACGTGCTGTTGAGCTAAGTGCATTGCTTGCCCAGTTGAAGTTTGGTGATTATAATCAAAATACTGCCCAATACCACTATGAAGAGTTCTGTATGAAAGAACTTACCTCTTCTACTTTGGACAGGTAACTTTTGTGGTTAAACTTTTAACACAGAAGTATATAAGAATAATTATTTGTAAGTTTCACAATTTGGTGAGGTTGTCTTAAATGTGCATCTGATGCAAGAGTTTTAATTTTTGAAAGCATCATCTGCGGGAAAGTTATTATAATATTAAAAGTGGGCTGCTTTCTGTGAGAAAATTTACTTTTTTCTTTTTTGCCTACCCTTTGAACTGATTAGAATAGTCAAAGTGATTAACTTTTGTCTTGACCTGATACAGGTTTAAATAAAAAGTTATGCTTTTGATTCAGCAAATGAATTTTCTCAATATAGCTGATAATAATAATTTAGTAAAAATTATAACTTTTTGATCCTTAATATTATTTATACCTTTAAATTAATTGTATTAAAATTAAGAGTTATGGATTGTGTAAAATCTGTTTTAAGAGTTCCCACAATACAATCTAAGATTTTATAGTGGCAAATCAATATATTTAAATTGTAAAATAAAATCAAAATTATGATTAACCTACTTTCGTATTTTTATCCACAGTATTATTGCAAAACATAAGGATCTTGAAGGCCTTAGCCAAGTTTCAGCTGAATATCAAGTTTTACAGATTGTGTCAACACTAGAAAACTATGGAGTAGAATGGCATTCGGTTAGAGACAGTGAGGGGCAAAAACTTTTTATTGGAATTGGCCCTGAAGGCATTTCCAGATGTACAGATGACTTCGTTCCCATCAACAGGTGATTACCAGAAAGTCCTGCCTGAAAAACTTTATCAAAAGCTTGTAAAATAGCCAAAGGATTCTGAAGCATGCAGCTGTTTTATCTGAGTCTCTAGCTTAACGGTATTGAACATTTCTTACTGTGTATTGTTGAAATGGATTGTTTCATTCTGATGTATTTTGGGGGATGGGGGATAGGAAAGGTTCTAACTCCAAATAACTATAGATATTTTTTACTGCAGAAAATTCAGAGATTCTTTTTATATCTCAGATCAGTTACCAACGTGTTATAGAAGGGTTTAGTTTTACATCTTGAATTGGCAACATATTGGGAAAGATTTTCATTGTGAAAGCTACTTTCATTTCTTCATTCCAAAAATGTCAACTTATCTTTAAATGTCATCTTTAATTTTATATTGCCAGTCTGCACTTGGTCTGTTTTTGTTTTGGTAACAGTATTTTAGGGCTTAGTGTTATGGTTTCATTCTTTGTATTTTTTTCCATTGCTTTAGGATTGTGTATTCAGTTGTTCAGATGGCTACACAGTCTGGGAAGAATGTATACTTAACTGTCACTAAAGAATCAGGAAACAGCATAGTTCATCTTTTCAAGATGATCAGCACCAGAGCTGCTAGTGGATTGTACAGAGCAATAACAGAAACACATGCATTTTACAGGTTTGTATTTCTGGGGAGAGACACACACGTAAAACAGTTTTAGGTTAAGTTCAACTACAGTGTTCTTGTCACTAATATATAAGTAGTTTGTCATATCACTGTTCCAGTATGTTGTAAACAAGAAGATAATAAATCCATTTTAAATAACTAACATTGAAATCTGTGTTTATATTACACATGGCTTTTTTTTTCTGCCACATTCTTATTTCAGTAGTATTGGGATATAAAGGGAAAAAAGATTGACTGATTCATGTTTCTTTTATATCTTCCTTTCCTGCTAGGTGTGATACTGTTACTAGCGCTGTCATGATGCAATATAGCCGAGACCTAAAGGGTCACTTGGCATCCTTGTTCCTGACAGAAAATATTAATCTTGGGAAAAAGTATGTATTTGACATTAAGCGGACATCTAAGGAAGCTTATGATCATGCAAGACGAGCTCTTTACAATGCTGGCATTGTGGATCTAGTTTCAAGAAATGACCAAAGCCCCCCCAGTTCTCCTCTTAAATCATCAGAAAACAGTATGAACTGTAACAACAATTGTGAGGGTCTCAACTGTCAGCAAATGAAAGCTGTTCAGGAAAAACTACGGAAATTTAAGGAGTCTCTGCTGTGTATGGCATGCTGTGAAGAAGAAATAAATTCAACGTTTTGTCCATGTGGCCACACTGTGTGTTGTGAGACATGCGCCATACAGTTACAAGTAGGTATAAAATCAGTTGCCACAGTGAAGTATTACATTTTGACTTAAGTTTTAAAAGTACTGGAAACTGTTTAATTCTCAAAAAAGCATACAATAACTTAGAATGCAGGATTTAAAAATCAGTTCATGGCTAAGTATAGTCATGCATCAAGACACTATGGAAGGAAGAAAGGGGCAACATACAAGTCATATGTTAAATATAAAAAGTGAAGTCACCAAGTTTTAATTGAAATTTATAAATGTTTTCTTAGGATTTTACTGTTTCCTAGACAGCTGCACCCAAATATGGGTAAATATGTAAAATGTTCTAAGTTGGTGTAGTGTACCAGTTCTAGAATGTGTCTTCATATTCCACCAAAACAGATCAATCCAAATGTTCCACATGTCCGTATGTTTCTGGAAGTTGATTCAGCTGCCATCAGTCCATAACTAGATTCCTGTGGCCTCCAAAGTAAATCCTTCAAATAGAAACAGAATTAGAGGTCTCTAATCAGTAACTTAAATAAGTCTTTCAGACAGAGATGCCAAGTAGTGAAAGGGTACCTGCAAGGCTACAGCAACTTCAGGTGGGCAAGAGAAAGAGGGATATCCGCTGCTGCTTCACTGTTGCAGCAGTTGACCTAATGGCTTTATCTGGTCATTCACTATGAATTCCTCTCCCACTTGGGGAGAGAAGGAAGAGGAAGCTGGAAAAAGTAGCAGAAGAAAGAGAGTGGCATTGGGGTTACCGCTTCTTTATTGCAAAAATCCAGGCTGCCACTAGATGACAGAAGTGATACAGAAAAATCTTAATTTTATGTTGCCATTTAGTGGCATTCTGGATATTTGCGGTCCAGGCATTAGTTCAGACACTGGAGTCCCATAGATGTTGCATTCCCAGATAAGTTTAACTATTTCTGTATTCCTTACATTTTGGAAAAGAGTCATTGGAAGAAAGCATTTGCTGTGTAGCGGGGGGGTTGTTTGTGTGTGTGTGTGAATAATAGCCATTAATGTTTTGATATATAAAAACAAAACTTGTGTATTAGCATTTTCTGTTTATGAGAACTAATGAAACTCACTCTAGACATTCAGTTGCTAACATTGCTCTTGTGTTTTCCTTTTAGGTGTGTCCAGTCTGCAGATCTCAAATAGAACATGTGCAGCATGTATATTTGCCTGCCCACACCAGCTTGCTTAATTTGACTCTAATATGACCTCCATGTTACTTTCTTAACTAATCCATACTTCCAAAGTACTGCACTAACGTTCCAATTCCACTGATAAAGAACTATCACTTCTGCATCTGCCAGCAATTACTGGAAGGACCATGACAAAACTTGGAAAGAAAGAATATAAAAAAGCTCTTATTAGAATAAATTTTAGAGGATATACTATGAATGACTTGTAGACAAACTTGTGTTATATGAAACAGCATTATTAATAAATTAACAATATTCTGAGAGAAAAAATTGAAAATTTAGTCTGCAGTATCCAGCAGTAACTCAGTTTTATGCATTTTATTAAAATCATTTTAAAAATTACTTTATCTAGCATGACCATTCCCATTTATCTTTTAGAAAGACTAGTTTTTAATATGTACATCTGTTGTAGTATAATTTTGTTTCTGCTTTTGTTTTACTGAAGTAAGAAACTTATTTTAAATTTGTACACTTAAGAAATTAAGATTGCAAAGCTTTAAGCAAATAGCTGGGTTTATTCAGCAAATCTTGCAATCAGATTACTTGCAAAATTTACTATCAACTTTTGAGTCAATCAGACTGTTGGGTACCTAAGAAAATGTGGATAAAACACTTAAAATGTAACTTTGATTATCTAAAGATTTTTTTATACTTAGAAAACTCAGCTGTTGTTTCTGTTCATATGCCTTATGTTTGGAGAGATGTTCCTCAGATTCTATAATCTTAGATTTTCCTTAAAATGCAGTTGTGTAAAATTTCTTAAAACCATCAGCCACAATCCCTATCTTCCCTTAGGATTTTGGTCAACTAGTGAATGCTACAGAATACTGAAAGGTAGATGACCATGTGCAATACTAGCTGAAATGAAAGCTAGAAAAGTCACTTTACTGCAGCTTTCTAAATATACTTTTCATATTGCCTTAATGTAGCAGTAATATGTGTATGCATTTGTTTCTTTGCACAGACATTTTGTCAAATATCAAAACTCTACTTTTTTATGGCACATTAGCATATAAATCTTGTTCCCAAAAAGATATTTATTTTTTCACTTTGTAAAAATGTTTTGTTTCCACATGAAGTAAGAGCTCCTATATGGTAGAAAACTTCTCTTTTTTATATATTCAGGTTAATAAAGGACTTTTAAAATAGTTTTGGCAATCTTCTCTATATCTGACTTGTGTATTAATCTTACCTATTCAATTCATCACAAAACATTTGCAACCATAGCATATGATGTCATTCTCTTACCCATAATTGTTTTGGTTGCAGTATGATTGACTTCATCTATAGGACTTATAAAGAAGCTTTTTTGATTACATAATGTTTAGGTTCTTCAGGTCACCTAGCATCCATGTAGCTGATCAGTTATTGAACCAGTTGGCAGAGAGAGAATAGAAATGTAATGGCTTCATTGACAAAGGAGGCATAGTTATATCAGAGCATACCATTATGATAGTTCCAATATGACTTGACAAAAGCATAAGCTGAGTGTCTTAAAGGGTCTCCTGGCCTAGCTATGGGGTACAACCAATGCACTAAATGAACTTATAAAAAGGTTTTCCTGGCCACAATTGCTCTTCCTATTCTAGGAAGAAGTATGATCTAAAAAATTCACCAGACTGTACCAGCATTGGAAGGGGAAGTACAATTCTATTCAGGGCTAAAAATGGACCTACCCCAGATTCAGACAGTCAAAACATCCTCAGCCATTCAGTCTTGTCAGGTTTATGAGCTCATACTCACCCAAACTGCTTCCAAACGTTGCTATAAGAATTTGATGTGTCGCCTGGTTAGCCTAGGGCCAAAATGTATAGCTGGATACGGTCAACAACTAATAATACTGGACCACCAACCGATGATCTCATTCTTTCAAATGTGAAAGCATCAAGCTTTGAGGTACTCCCCCCCCCCCAGCTTAATTTCTATTCTTCCCCCTTACACTGACTGGATGAAAATTTCCAGAAAGTTGGATCCAGCAAAGGCTTTTTGAGGAGAGTGCTTATTACTCCCTCCTCGAAGATAGGAGGTACTGCCCCTCCCTCAAAGAAGCAGTTATTACGATATTGGCTGAACTGTGTGTTATCTCACAGGTGGCCTTCACCAGCCAGGACAGTTATGGATCTAATAGAATCTCATAATCTAATTTGAGATGAAGTTTGCAATAGAAATGACATTTTAGTCCCAGATCTTCAGCCATTTGTTTACCTCAGCAGCTTTTGAAGTTTTTACTTGGTTAAAAAGTTGGTCAGCTTTTAGGACTTCTGGTTTTGTGCTATAGCGCACGGCTGTGAGATAGCAAAGCTCCACTCCCCTCAGCCAGTTTCGTCGTATCAGGGGGACCCTAAGTGGGTCTGAAGTTGCCCCAAAGAAGTGACCATGAAAGAGAAGTGCTCCGTTGATCACGAAATGACAGTAGTCATTTCGTTCGATTCGGGGGAAGCCCTCTGACCTGACAGGAGAAAGGCTAGTGTGGCATCAACGTCTAGCCCAAGTTACCTGCAGCCAAAGTCCAAGAGCACGAACAAGAACATTGGTGAACAGTGTGCTTGGAACTTGTGAGAGTATCAATCTTCTCTCTTCTATCTACTAACTGAATTCTTGGGAAAGACCCCCAAAGAAAGAAAACCTCCAAAAGTGAAGGGAGGGACTATATCCCCATTCCCTCATAGATGGAAGCAGTGAATTAATACTAAGGGGGAAAGAAATTAAATTTAAAATACTACAGTCTGGACAAATCTAGAAATTAAAAAAAAACCTGCTAAGACTACACCTAAAAGGGTTTTAATGAAATTATAAAATATCTATGACAATAATATTTTTTGTCTGAAAAAACTGGAAAATGAACGATTACTGACACCTAATGAAGAATCAGAGCACAGAACACTAATAATAAATAATGACTCAGAAACTGGCAGGACACCTAGAAACAAAGAATAATCTGTTCCCTTAAATTTTAAATAACCTTGCAGACAACTGGGAACAAAGAAAGTTGGCCCAGCCATAAAATTAAAAAGTGTCTGAAAGAAAAATACATGGACTGTTGATTAAATTTAAGAATTGTTTAGAGAAAAAGGAAAACTTTGGATCTTGGCTAGTCTTTTAGAGGAGAATCTACAGGAAGGACTTAAGGTGGTTTAACATACTGAATTATAATGTTGACTGATTGATAATTAATCCCTGAACTAAAATATTGATGAAAGACTATTTGAAAGGGGGAGACAACATGGATATCGTACACTTATCAACAAATGACAGGACACCACACTCAATATTCACTCTGGAAGTATTTAGCCTGGAACATCAAAGATTCTCAGAAGCAATATTTCAAGGTAAGACAAATACTTTCCAAGAGGAAATGTACACAATGTTATGATACAAATGACAACAGATTTAAACCATGAGGAAATCCAGAACAACTTTGACAACACAAATAAGCACATCTCTAATCTAAACCTACAATCAAAAAACATCCGGAAAATGACGGCAAATGAACAAAAAAAATCAGATAACAAAACACAAATTAGAAGAACATGATCATATCAACAAAACTACAAATGAAAAGAATCACAATCCAACACAAACAGGAAAAAATCTACAAGATTTTGATATAACAATAAAAATGGAGTGGACTATAGAATTCCCAGGAGAATAATTGGGAGACAGAAAGTATATATCCTACCTATTCTATCTTCTGTATTCCCAAAAATACTTGCAAAAACACAGGAACTGCTGGATAAGCGGAATATATTAACTTGGAAAGCTATTCGGCAAAAGAAGAAGGCTAGAGACAGATTCAAGAGATTTGACTCGCCCTACCAGATGGAGTATTACATGAGTAAACACTTGTTTGAATATGGTTAAAAGAATAGAGAACTTTGGACATAAAGGGGCTCTATAACAAGAGGGATAAGAGATTTAAGTAATATAGTATGTTTTACATTATATGAAATGTAAAAATATTGGGATGATGTAACTTTTATAAATATAAGTGAAATATAAGCTGATCAGAAAGGATGTTATACCCAGGTGTTACAAGATAGATAAGAAGCACAGTATTTTTATAATACATGAAATATGAAAATATTGGGATGGTGTACCTAAATGGAAAAAATTGGATATCTAAATGACTAACATTGAGAAAATCATGACTGATAAGAATGGATTGAATAAAAGGGGAAATTAAGCTTAAACAAAAATCACGAAAATAGGACGCATGGTGAACTAATGAGATGATGGTTATAAGAATAATATAAGCTGATAAAAATGTTATACAAAGA